CTTAAGCTGCCAAATGAATCATAAAAGCAGCCGCATGTCCTGTGCCAAGGTGTCATTTTCATTAAGTGTGAGATTGCACCTGAAGGACAGTTTAATTTGCAGCTGCTAAAAAACATTTCAACAGAGTGGTACTGTTACAAGTGGCAGGTGGTGCCCAAACGTGAATTTTGCAAGAAATGCCATCTGTGGGATGAGGTGTGGAAGAATGTCAAGGGGGTGGTAAAAGAGATAAAGGGGGCAATAAAAGAGAAGTATATTTATTCAGTGTTCATTGCTATTATCACGACTAAAGATTCCATGCTTCACATGATAGCATTGGCCCAAGATTATTAAATGCGATTATTGCTCAGCTTCTACAGTATGCTCAAGGCATTGCAAAAGTATCACAGTACCTGTAAAGACAATTGCTTCCCCAGAGGCATATCATTTAAGCTATCCAGATGAGAGAACCATTTCCAACTTTATTTACCTTTCATAGTGTTTACATTGCAGTTTTACGCTGGTAAGATTAATGCTTTGATCTCGCTTAAATGGATTTTGCCAATATCTTTTGATGTTCAAATCCTAATACACAATCACAATGACTGTATGCTTCGCATCACAAGAAATATTTTCAAATTGTATAAGCTCAAAGATTTTGTTCAATCATTGCCTCTTGGGATTTTGTAAACTTTATAGACAGAACTTTGCAATGTGGAGAACAACCTAGGGGCATTCTGTTTACATTACTGAAGGAAGAGCTATATGTCTGTATTAGTTTCAGTGGATTTGACCATGTTGAAATCAGGAATTTATCTGGAATATAAAAATAGTCATTCTCTCCTTTAGTAGGATGCAGTAAAAAGATTTAAGAAAAACTAACTAATAGGCTTGGGATTTTCATTTCTGCTTGCCATTCGATGAGAGTAACTGAAAATAAAATATTTTCTTTGTAAATAACATGACCTTTTTCAGATCCCTAAGGAGAACCAATAAGGTGAGTAAATTTCAATGAATTGTGGAATAATTTTCCATGGGGGAGATTTGATGACTCAACAACTTATTGAATTGCTTGTACTTTCTCAGGACAGTGGTAATCTATGACTTCCAACATATGAATTGTTTATAGCTTTATAAAATGGAGAAACATGGTTTTGTTATTTTGATCCTACTGATGGAATCTAACTGAAAAAATGCAAACAGTTAATTAGTTTTAATTATCTAACACAAAAGGATATGATCAAAGAGAGTTTCTTCCAGGTTAAAAGAACATTCATAAAATTCCAGAACGTTTTGAAAACCCACTGTTGTGTAATAAATCCTAGTTGTAATTTAAAGAAGCTTATCTAAGAATTTCCTTATCCAAAAACCCATATATTGTATAGCTTCTGATGAATTCAACTTATTCCTAAAGCTTTAGGAAACTGTGTCAAAATGCAGGAGAATATGACTCCTTTGATGAAAATAAAAATGACATGTTTTAGTTCAGGAAATTCATTTATTCAGTCACATAGAAATGATACTCTCAGAAATTATTTTAATCTGGAATAAATAGAAGGAACAGGGAGATCAGTTTACAATAAAGAAAAAGGAAAGAAAACAAGTGAAAAATAGAGTTTTAATAGATTCTAATTGAGTGATATGCACCAGATGCCGGGGAATGGTTTATGTGTTTAAAGGTGATAGACAGTACAAGATGGTTTGGGGAAGGTGAGGCCAGAGGTAGGGAAAACAGATTGAATGTGACTGCCAGGAGTGAGGAGATAAGGGTCTACATTTGGGTGGTTGTAAGTGCGACAGACTCAAAATTTTGCTTAGGGAAATGCTTTCGCAAATATACAAGCCGAAGAAGGCAGAGATATTAGACAAATGTCTGCCCCAACCAATATGAAAATGAAAAAATAGAAAAAGAACTATATGTTATAAAGAGTTAGAAGAGAACTTTCATGAGTTAAGGTCATATGAAAATTTTCCTATAAAGATAGTGAAAACAGTGTTTTAAATTTCCTCTAAAGGATTAGAGGCAGGAACTGTGGTCAGTTCTGCTGGAAAGGTAAGTCAAGGTTACTTTGTGAATAACACTGATTAATCTCAGTTTATTTTTATATTACAGTCACTGTAAATAATGTAATTGACAAGGTTTCCCATTTTCCTCTTGTGTCAGAAAGCTTGGAACCAAAATTGTGACCCACCTTAAGTATATGTATCGAAGAACAGAGTATCTAATTTTACCCTTTGGGGCACTAAGTCTTATTGTGCTTTGTGCTTGACACATCTTAATTTATGTTACTTCGTCATATCTGACATTCATTCTGCCTGACATTCATTTTGAAAAATACATGGTGTAAATATATCCAGACTTATTCCTGTAGCACTGCATGAATAGCTTAGAAGAAAAAGAGAAAATGCATGTAAATACAGTTAGATGATTCCAACCAGATACTGTGAAGAACATGAACTGTGCTGGCAACATTCGAGCTCTAAAAAGGGGAAATAAAGTGAAGGATGTCAGCAGGAATAAGCTTAATAATATATTTAGAGTGCAAACAGATGATCAGAGAAAATAGATGCTAATAAAGGCCAAAGTCATGTTTTATATCTATGTGCTGATGTTGACATTGACCACATTGGAAGAGTAGGATAAGAGCAGTTTTTTAAAAAAAAAAAAAGTTGATAAGCTCTTTACTAATCATGATTATTTAAAGTTGTATTAAGATATATAAGTAGGGCCTCCCCGGTGGCGCAGTGGTTGAGTGCTGGGCTGCAAAGCTGCCCGCAGCCTCTGCAGCGCCAGTTCGATCCCCGGCCACTGGGCAAGGGTCCCACATGGCGCGCAGACCTCTCCTGCCGCCCACTGCTCCCCTCAGCAGTGTATTTCGTTGGTCTGCCTGCTCTGCTCTCCACTTTGGCTCTGGTGAATTCTCTCACCCTCCCACACTTCTGACTGTACCCAGTGCTTGTATAAATAAATAAATAAATCTTTAAAAAAAAAAAAAAAAGATATGTAAGTAGAGAGCTTTAGCCAGAATTTTGAAATGCAGAATTGAATATAGGAAGAAAGCCTGGGATAGTCTAGCAATAATTGAAGCTGTAAAAGTAAGTAAATTCCCAAAGAGAATTTGTTTTAATATAAGAAAATTGCAAATGGTGAAATAGTGGAAGAAATACTAGGAAATGACTGAATTTATGGGAGTGGGAGGAAATAAAAAAGTGCCCAAAGAGAAATTTAATAAGTGTCTTTATTTAGGAATTTGGGGGAAAGGGAAGTAATAAAGGAAATAGTGAAGGTTAAATCATTGATAGTTTAGAATTAGGGTCACAAAAACTACAAGTCAGAGAAGCAATGAAAGTTTAAAAATTTGAATTTCTTGTTTGTGCTAGTGGTTCTTTTTGTGCAGTTTAACAACTGCAGTTTAATTTTCAGCATTCCCTCACAGTATGCATCGGTGAACCAAAAAAATTATTTTATCATAATATTCCCTTAATTTTCCACAAACCAGAGCAGAGTAAGTGCTTAGAAAATATTTGATAAGTGAAAATAAAATATTAGTAAGTGACTGTGTGAAGAATAGAGATTGTTATTGAAGCAATTGTCTGTAGGATATTTTATTGAGAGCAAATAGATATGTAAGACTTAAAAAAAAAAAAAAAACTAAGAGTTCCTTCTTCCACAGAAAGAAAGAAAAGATAAATTTGGGACTGAGAAGGAGAAGGAGAGAATTTTTACTAAAAGATCTTGATGTACCATTTAGTGAATATTGTCACTATTGCAAATAAGTCCATCTTTGAATTAATTAGATTAATTTTAATTAGCTAGAATTCAATTTAGATTAAAGTGAGAGATGGTTAATTAGTTGATTTAAAGAAATTCAGAATGATTTCAAACAGTTTTTGGTTGTAAATCTATAGTGAGTCAGTAAAAGTAAATGAAAGAATTTCTTAGTAAGCGAGCCTCTGAACGCAATTTCAACACCTACAGATTTTTTTCTCCCTCATCAATAAGCAGTTTTTGGAACACGAGCAGTGTATCATACAGTTCACTTCAGCTCTGACACTATCTTGCTGTACATCGATTCAGGTTCTTCATGTTAAGAGCCCAGCTCTACAAGACCATTGCCCATCCCCCTCCTTTAGTCCCAAGTAGCCAGCCCAATTTGTGACTTCTGGCCCACTGGTTACAGATATTTCCAGCACCCCCTCTGAAGGTTTCATTCATTTGTTAGAGTGGCTCACAAAACCCAGAGAAACATTTTGTTTGCTACATTACAGGTTTATTATTAAAGAATTTTACCCATTAACTAACATGAGATGTATAGTATGGAGGTGAGGGGGGTGAGAGCTTCATACACTCCCTCCATGTCTCCTCACTAACCCAGCAGCTCTCCAAAGGAGTCCTTTTGGTATTTTCTGGAGACTTCATTACATAGATAGGACTCATTGAAAAATTGTCAAGTCTTGACTCAAGGTCAACACCCTCTACCCTCCCAGGAGGTTGGTTGGTGGATCTGAAAATTCCAGCCATGTAATAGATGCTCGATTCTACTAGTAACCAATCCTCATCCTTAGGAGTTTTTCAGAAGTCATCTCCTTTACATAACATTTTTTCTGGAAACTGTAATAAATTAATTGGTAAAGAGATTTAGACTGTTTCATGTTTAAAAGAAAGGGTAACAATGGTAATGAAAATAAGTAATACTTATACTTCACAGTACTAACAATTTGCAAAATATTTTAACATCCAGTAATGCATTTGCAATATGTTACCACACTGAAGATATACATGCCTACTCTTAACTTTCTGGAAAAAGGTTAATGAATTTTATCTTGAAATAGAAGGTATTTTGTAACATTTTAAAATGCAAAAAGATTCATGGGTACTGAAGCAAGTGAAATAAGGAGAGATATATTTGATATAGTCTTGAAATATATCAAATAGGGGTTGAGAAAGTGAAATGAACTGTAATGAATGATATCACTTATTTTCAACTGTCTTAACATATGCGCTCTAATTTATTTCTCAGATCCAAGGTTCATTAGTGCCCACCTCATCCCAGAGAGTGACAACCCCGAAGATGATAAAGTATACTTTTTCTTCCGTGAAAATGCAATAGATGGAGAACACACTGGAAAAGCCACTCATGCTAGAATAGGTCAGATATGCAAGGTGAGGTGAATTAAAAAAAAAAAAATGTCAGGAGGATATCATTGTGCAATCACTGTTATTTTTCTTTTCCACTTATGTGCAAATATATTGAGAAATATGCCCAAAAACTTGTCAGATCTCAACAACTATTCAAATGGTAAAAATGATTAAAAACCTGTGTAGTTAATTATAAGTAATTCTTCATAGTCAAACTTGCAGTAAGAGGTTGTAAGTCATTTTTCCATAATTACATTAAATGATCTTAGTCTAAAATTCTAGAATAGTAACTGTTCTCATTATCCTTTAGATAAACTATTTTTTTATATTCTCAGACCTAGAGAAATTTCTAGTTTTTAAGTTTTGAATGAATATGTGTTGTTGGAATAACAAGCATTGATATGAGAGAAATGCATTAAAACTTATTTAATAAAAAGATGGTATTTTAGGGGCCTCCCTGGTGGCGCCGTGGATTGAGTGCCGAGCTGTGAAGCTGTCCGCAGCCTCTTCAGCACAGGTTCGATTCCTGGCCTCCAGGGAGAATCCCACATGGCACAGCAGACCTCTCCTGTCTCGCCCGCTGCTCCCCTCAGCAGTGTGTTTCAGTCAGTCTGCCTGTTCTGCTCCCTGCTCTGTCTCTGGTGAATTCTCTTACGCTCCCTCACCTCGGACCTGTACCCCAGCTCTTGTATAAATAAAAATAAATCTTTAAAAAAAAAAAAAAAAAGATGGTATTTTAATGCATTCATATAAACAGACAAATAATTTTGAAACTCTAAACTTTATCAGAGATACTTTATTTACTGTGTCACAAAATTATATATAATATTATATTGTAATATCACATATATAAAATTGAAAATTGTTCCCTAAATACTTGTGAGTTAATTAGTATAATCAGTATGAAAACATAAAGCATTATTTCCCCCTGCACTGTATAGTGTAGTACATATATGCAATATAAGCACAGCCAACTATTGCTGTGTATATTGAAGCAGCTTAAACTCAGGAAAATCACAGAGAGCTCCAACAATTGTCTTAAAATGGAATTCTTCCTTTTTATGAAAGTAGTGTGAAATTTTAAAAATCTCTTGTTTTGTTTTTTGGTAACCTCCTTTCTACCCCACTCATCTAATTATTTATCTCTAATATATTTGTTTACTTGGAAATTAAATGTTTTAACTATTTGGAAACAAACAAGTAGGTAAAGGGCTTGAAACTCTTTTCTCCACAAGGCTAGATGTTTAAAGCACCACATACAAAGGTTTAAAAAAAATCTTTATAGCATTTAAAATCATATGAACAAAATATAAATCAGTGTTATATTTTGAAGGATCATTTGTTTCTTTAAACATATAGATACAAATACTATTTTAAAATAAAAAGACTCTAATTTACCAATAAATACATACCATCATTATAGAATTTATCGCTACCATAGATTAAATTCAGTTTTATATTCTGGAAGAAGACACTTTTTTCCAAATGCTTGCTATGGAGTGAGTTAGCTTTATTCAGGCTTATGCAAACATTTTCTCATCATGCTATTTGAAAGTAGCAATTGCTTATTGTTAACCATATAAAATATTTGATGCTAGCATAGCTTTGAGATGTTTTTCATTATGGGTTATTCTTTTATTCAGACACTCACTAAGTGTTTGTTGTGTGCCAAGCACTGACTGTGAATCAGTCTATTTACTGAGTAAGATGCCAAGAAATACATACATAGGGTGAGATACCTAAACCAGAACAAAATAGAGAGCAATGACTTCATTACAGAGTGGTAACAAAATGGAAAAATAAAGTGACTTTTTAATGCTAAGGGAAATTATTATGAGTCTCCTTGAAGAAAGTTGGAGTGAGTTATTTGACCAACAATGTAATAAGAAGTCATAGTTATTCGTAAACTGGTCGTTTAAAATTCCTTATTTTGTAAAATTAGGAAATATATTTTGTGTCTGTCTGAAGGTACTAATATAAGAAAAATATTTGAAATTATCATTAGCATGCACAGTTCCTAAAACTGACATTCTCTCCTTTTAGAACGACTTCGGGGGACATAGAAGTCTGGTAAATAAATGGACAACATTCCTCAAAGCTCGTCTGATTTGCTCTGTGCCAGGTCCAAATGGCATTGACACTCATTTTGATGAACTACGTAAGTAGCTGAGGATGTTGTGCAGAGAATATTTGTTCAGAATTTGTGATGACCTTGAAAAATGCAACTCTCTCCAATTTTATTTTCAAACAGAGGATATATTCCTAATGAATTCTAAAGATCCTAAAAATCCAATTGTATATGGAGTGTTTACAACTTCCAGGTAAACAATTTTTTACTATTTCATTATCATAGAAGCTTCATGTCCTGTAGATGCTTTCCAAATATCCATACTTTGTGAAAATATGTTTTTGAAAGAACAACTCTTGTTTAACCTGTGAGCTGTTGTACATTCTTTGGTAGCTGCAATAAGTTAAGACCTAAGTAGATTTAAAAATTAAATTAATTAATTTTAGTATAGAATATCACCACCATCATTAGAATAATGAAACAATTAGGAAAATGTGTGTCATGTCCTCTGTCTAGTTAATACTTTAAATATTTGAAGGAAATATAGATTATTACAAAAATGGAAATTGGAGTTTTGATTAGCATGTGTAGTGATAGAAACTAAGGGTGAATGAAATTTTATTCTCTTCTTTCTCTTCCCCCTCATCTTTACTCCCTTTTCCCTTTAGCTCTCTCCCCCACCCTTCTTTTCTCCTTGGCCCACCCCCTCACCACCTCCTTTCTTTCATGCGCTCCTTTTCTTACCATGTCCTTCTTCCTCAAGACTCTTGCTATCAATGAAGCAGCAATTAGTCCCTGACAATTAATTTCAGTATAAAATTTATATATCCTGGACTTGCTAAACACACACACACACACACACACACATTTACATCTGTATGAATAGTGATATGCATTTGGATAAATATGAAATGTTTAAAAGAAAAATTGTCAGAAAAAAGAGTCAGGAAAAGTGTTACAAGGAACTGTGACAACACAAAGAGGAAGGGTAACCGCGGTGTCCATCCCTGATTTATACTGTGAATATTAAAGCCAGTCAAAATTTCTTGGGCACTTTTAATTAATAATTTAAAAAGTAACCTGTAAAATTAGGAAATTTGTGTTACTAAAACTTTGTTATTTTGTCATACCTAAATATTTCTCCCCTTTGGTTAAAAAAAAAAAAAACAGAATGATTACTGAAGTAACAAATGTGGGAAGCTCAAATTAAACAAACAGAATATTTCCTCTGCTTTCTCATTTCTTCATGCATGATTCCCAGGCTTGGGTCTGCATCAGAATCACCTGCAGTGCATGTTAAACTATAGAGTACCAAGCTCCACCCCAGGGGTTTGAGATTCATAAGAAAGGAATAAATCCTAAGCATTATCATCTCTAACAAGTTCTCTGGGTGATGCCCTTACATGTAACTGATGCTGCAGATGAGAGTCAGGTCTCTTCCCTCATGAAGCTTGCAATTTCCAATAATAAACTCTTATGAACACATGTTTTTCATTTGGTCTGATTTATATGTAATTCTCTATGGGGACAGACTGTTAAAAGATAAGTGTTCCACATTTTAAATATGCACAAGAGTTTTATATATTTGTAGAAATAGATTCCTCAAGTTGTATTTATGTAAGCAAAATAAAATGAAAAATTGTGCTAGCTTATAGCACACTTCCAATTTGCTGCAATTACCTGATTCTAGTAAAATGATGGGGATAGTTCCTCCACTTTAAATAGACTTAAAATAAAATAAACTTAAAATGATTTTTTGTGTTGGAAAGAGATGTTTTAAATGCCTCCATGCAAATCAAATTATATTCCCTAATCTAACATATAGGGTATTTGGGCGATTAAGATACTAATAATGTGATTTATTGTTTGATATTGACTATTCATTCTCTGACCAGAGTTATTAAATGAGTTATAAAATGACTTATTAAACATTCTTAAAAGTTTCATGTTTTCAGTACTGATGCTTGGGGCTTAATATATTACCAAAGTTTTTATTTTTACATGATATCAAAGTTAAATATTACATATTTTAGAGGGTCATGCATGAAATTTTTTTCTAAGAAGTCTTGTGTCTGATTTGAATGTACCTATTCACATATATAGTTTATATATATATAATATATAGTTTATGAGAACTAAAGAGGGTTTCATCTATACCATCTCTTTCTGAAAAATCATAATTTGTTTTGTGTATTCTTAAATAGATTTTGTGTTTGTGTGTGGCTAAAATAAAGTACCGCACACTAATTGAAGTTGCTAGGAATTTGTATTTCCGTTTTGAAAATAGACATCTGAAATTTAAAAATTCATTAGCAGTGGTTCATGATCTCTTGCCACTGTATAAAAATGAAAGTCTGCTTTTTTTTTTGTCTCTTATTTTCAGTAACATTTTCAAGGGATCGGCCGTGTGTATGTATAGCATGAGTGATGTGAGAAGGGTGTTCCTTGGTCCATATGCTCACAGGGATGGTCCCAACTATCAGTGGGTGCCTTATCAAGGAAGAGTCCCCTACCCACGGCCGGGAACTGTAAGTGCAATGGCTGTTCAAAATGTCAAAAGAATAAATTTCTTCTAAAAGTTAAAGCAAAAAGCAACAACAAGCAGTTATTAAATAAATTGTAAAACAATGATTCCCAACGCTGTAATAAAATCAAAGCAAAGATTTTCTATGATATCATGAAATTCCACATTTACAAATGTGTTTTTTACAGACGTGTTTCATTTCAATGTTTATCAGTTATTATGTATGCACTCAATTTTTTCAAAATAAAAACTACCCCAGTAGCCTTCTCTATTTTCCTTTCTGAGTGGATGTAATGGAAATGGCCTTCAGAGGAAGGTGAAACAATTAGGATACACCTGCTCTTGGTCTGTGGGATCTTAGTGAAGGATCAAGGGTTGCACATTCAGTAGGAGAAAAAAAAAACTAAAGATCAGTATTACCTTCCCCTGAGGATGGAACATGTTCCTCCACTAGGTAATAAAAGATATGTGAAAATAATCTCAGAGAGAGCAGTGCCTAGATATTTTAACAGATGCCATCTATTCTTGCCAACCTCTCCCTTTATTCTCCAGAAAGTATAAGCACACTCAGGCATAAAATAATTGTACAAAACTGAAAATAAAACCAGCTTGGATTTGCAATTTAAAGTAGGGAGAAAAGAAAAAGAAGGAAAGACTTCAGTATGGTAGAAAATGAGTCATTGTCAATATGATATCAGAGGTAATAGAACAACCTGGATAGAAGCATCCGCTTAAGGGCAACATCTTCCAATTCTAAGAGTCTTTCAGGAAGTAATTTAATATAATTGAAAAAAATTGTCTTTGAAGTTTTTTATTACTTTAGTTTTGCTTCAGTTGTCTTTATTTCTACTGAAGTCAAGTAAATTATATTTTATATGATTATATTGGACATAGGATGCTTTTAATATTCTTGTTTTTCTAATAATGCTAAATTTATGAGAAAATTGACATGTTTTTATTTTGCAAATTTAACTTCTACCTAATAGATCTTATAAATTAAAAAAAAATACCTAAAGAGAATTTCAGAAGAATAAATATCTAAGATGGGATATTTATTATAAAAAGCACAAATATTTACTCCATGGCTTATTGGTCCATTGCTTTTAATTTGTCAATGGACAGTTTTATATCATCCCTATGCCTATTTATTAATTATCAATAATCATTAATAATTAATTATTAATTAATTATTAATAAATCCCAAAGATGGTAGCTGATATTTTATTAATCCCGAAGATGGTAGCTGATATTTAGTTCCATCAACAATATTGGGTAGTAACATATTAAATGATATTCAAACAAAGTGTGAATAAAATGGGACTTTATTATAAATGAGACAAATTTTAAGATAAAAACCCAAGATGAATTTATTCATTACTTTACTTTTCAATCACACATTTCTAAATTTTTAAATGTCAATAGAAAATAAAAACAATAAAATATAAAAATAGGTTTTATTGTTTCTTCCAGGAATTTATACATATATTCAATACTTATATAATATTAAATAAGTAATGTTATAATTTACTTAAAGAGAAAGTAAACTAATACTACATTATTGTATTTGTGTGTTATATATACAAAGTACATATACAAACATATATATATTCATAGATAGATACTCGTCTGATTTCAAACCAGGTTTACTTATTTCATTTCTCATGAATTATTAATAATCTATATCAAAGTAATGGCAAAGATTATTGATTCTACTCCTAAACCTTTAGTAATTACATTTAAGTTCCCAAGCTCTTACATTATGTAAAAGACAATATTTAAGTGTAAGACCAAAAAGCAAGAGACTGGAGATATTATATTGGATGCTCATATCACATAATTAAATGCAGCAAAAAAAGAGATGGAGTAAAATCTGAATTTTCTCATTTTTGTTTTGTTGCTTTTAGTGGAATGTATGAATCCACCTGTGACACTATGCCATTAAGCCACAATACATCCTTGCGGGTCCTCTGTGACCTGTTTTTTCCATTCTTTTTTTTAAAGATTTATTTTTATTTATTTATGCATACAAGGACTGGGGTATAGGCCAGAGGTGTGGGAGGTAGGAGGATTCACCAGACAGAATAAGGAGCAGAGCAGGTGGATTTACTGAAATACACTGCTGAGGGGAGCAGCGGTCAAGGCAGGAGAGTTCTGCCTGGCCATGTGTGTTAGCAGTGATAGCTCTGAGACTTAACCCCTTTGCCACCTGGGAGGCCCCTGTTTGCTCTTCTTATCAGTCATTATCTATATCATGCAGGTTGCTAACCACTTTAAATAATATCTTCCCTTATCCCTAAAATGACTTTATTAAATAAATAGCTTTTAGTGATTTTCATGGTGAATTTAAAAAATTGTTTCTTTTTTTTATTCAGATGATGTTGGTTTATATTGTCGTTTGTATTTTGGAAGTTAGCGTTCCCCCTGCTCCCACCTTCTGGTGATGTTGCCATAGCACTTCCATCATCAAAGCACCCATATTCCACCACCATAGCTCATTGTGCTCTCTCCCCACTGTTCACCTTCCCTGCCCCTCATGTTAGAAGCAAAGGAATAAATGATAGTATATATTGTCTATTAGTTTGAAAAGTGCATTTGTATTTTAACATAATGGCACAGGAAAAATTAAATATATACAGAAAATTATTCTGAATTTTTGTATTCTAATGATTAATTGCACTTAGTAGTAACATACTTCATTCATTATTTCCAATACTTCCTCTGTCATATGAATAACATATATGGCGTTGCCACTCTTGAGGCGTCAGATACCTCCTGCACATTGAATTTATCAGATGCATTCACAACTTTTGTTAAGAAATGGTTACATAACTATGTACCATGGAGACATAAGATTTATCTAGGAATTATATATTACATTTAATAATTTAAGCCTTATTATAGTTTTTAGTTTGTTACATACTTGAAAAAATAATAGCAGGTTAAGAGTTCTAGACCATTGAGATTATTTATAATCATATGATTTATAATCTTATTCATTAGATTTTAATCAAAATATATTCTTCTGTTTATCCTAATAGTGTCCCAGTAAAACATTTGGTGGATTTGATTCTACAAAGGACCTTCCAGATGATGTTATTACATTTGCCAGAAGCCATCCAGCCATGTACAATCCAGTGTTTCCTATTAATAACCGCCCGATAATGATCAAAACAGATGTAAATTATCAGTTTACACAAATTGTAGTAGATCGAGTTGATGCAGAAGATGGCCAGTATGATGTCATGTTTATTGGAACAGGTAAAAATTTTAACTTCATCTCTAACTTTTCTCCCAGGACATTGTGTTTAACCGATTAAGAATAATAAGAACTGAAGGAAGATTTAATAGTCATTCTCAAGGTATATAGTAAGCTAATAAATGACTAAAAAATCTGAACATTTTGTCATTACAAGTATACTTTTAAGCAAACTGACATATATTAATTTAAAATAAATTTGCTTTTCAATCAAAATTTATTAATGTAATTAGGCAAAGCTAATGATTAGGTGAGGAACCTATGTCTATAATTGAATCATAACTCTTTTCTGGCCAGTGGATTTTTAGAACAAAGATGTATTCCTCAAATCATGCCTAAAATTCTCAAGACTGCTATAATGGTTCCAGGATATATTGATGTAAAATTAAAATTATTGATCTTTAAAATTACAATAGGGTACAAGTCTTCCAGAAGATAACTTTGACAATAAAACTCATTCAATATTTTTGCTATACCAAGAAAAAAAGAAAGAACCCTCAGGAAAATAAGAAATGGATCTAAGAAATCATCAGATATATTTTGGACCTATTTCTATAGAAATTTAACAACATATTACTACTATATACATGATCATAAACATTTTGTTGGCATATTTTCAGAATGAATTCCACTGATATTTGAAATTTTATTTTCCCCCTACTTTTTTTAATAATAATAATGCTATTTTGAAAGTACCAGTTACCAATCTAAAATGTGCCTCTTAGGGTCAGATTCCAAGGTAATAAATTCCTAGTCTCCATTAACATTGTTAACTGACATAAATCAGTGAGAAGCAGAGTGAGTGGTCCACTGGAACCTTGTATAATAACATTTATTTTTCCCTTATTATCAGATATAACAGTGTCAGGTTCTGAGCAATACATTACAGGCTGTTTTTATGAGAAAGTTTCTCTATCAAATAAAAAATCCAATGAGACTCAGAGTTATGTAAAAGTGAATGAATTGCAAGTATCAACTTCCAGTTATAAATATCTTTAAAAATAATAGGATGATATGATTTCTTTTCAGTAAATATTAGTTTGTCATCTAATGTCAAATTATAATCAAACCTCTGCAAAATAATTAAGCTTTCTCAATAAAATATCACACTTAGATCTTTTTCTTCATCTCTGGTCTATACAATGTGAGAAGCCGTCACTCATTGTCAAAACACACCAAAACTTGCATCTGGCTATTTAACCAAAGAAATCCAATCTTGAGTTCTTCATTTCTCTTGGAAACCAGTTGTATTTAAAGGAAGCAATTTCATGAGCATTTTGAACATCCAGTGTTGTGGATGGCTATCAGTCAGCACAGATCAGGGTCATCTGTCAGCAGAGTAAATTGATTACAGTAATTTTACCTTTTAACTAAGTTGCACATATTGATCCTAGTTGAGTAATCTGATTCAGTTTGTGCAAAATTGTTTGAAATACTACTCGGTAAACTTGATCTGTAACACAGATAAAGTGATGTTTGGGTACTAGAGACAGAGTAGATTAACCTAATTTACCTTTAATCTTTGTATTATGAATAGTCAAGGGTTCTGTAAACATGAAAGGATGCTCTTAAAAGAGGGCATTTTTTAAAACTTTACAAAGGATACACTGGCAATCTTTCTTGATTCCACGTAGCACATCATTCTGATCTGAAAATGGTTATCAGTAGGATGAATAAATTTCATTGTTTTTCTGGTGTAACTTACTCTTTTTTTATTTGCAAGGTTTTCTTATTAATTGGTCTGTTAAACCTGTTTAAATTGAGTTAATTGAAACTAAAATAATTGATCAGTTTATCAAAAGTGCAATGTTGAAGAGTCAAAGTGTTTAATCGGGTCCTGTTCATTCTATCAAGGAATAGGAACATAGTTTGTAGATACTGGGAAATTAATATCTTCATAAACCGAAAGGGAGTAAAAGGGACAGCACTTGCCATTTAAAGTGTCTATTTTAACATGAAAATTAGAATGAATAATTCTTGAAATTTCTATAAAACATTTTCAATTTAATTGCTTTTTATGATCTAAATTTTAAATTTCATTTAATCTAAATTTTGTTAACCAATATGCTAATAAAACCAGTATGTTAAGCAACATTGATTAACTAATTGTTGAAAAATCACCATAATAAGTAATCCAAGGTGTTTATTTTGAGAAATTAGGTTAGTGCCATTCATCACTTAATGGTCATTGAGCTGTCTTTAGGGGCCTCCAAGGACTAAAGGTTTTCAGGTGACAGGAAGATGAGCAGCCAGGCCCTGAAATTCTAACTCTTGTTGCTTAACAACATTCCTTGCATTTTACATCTACATTTAGGCTTCATCCTTGTCCCTGATTTCATAATGAAAGTGGAAAAACCAGTCATGTCAAACTGGTATTACACCTTTTTCTGAATCTTCTAACATTTGAGATTAAAAAAAATTAAAATAGTTAATCCAGCCTAGTGATTATAATTTTTTTTATTTATGCAAGTTCCAGATAAAACCACCCTCAAAGTTTCATATATTTCTAAAAATACAATTATTTTTATTTCAAGGCTACATTTATAGTTTGGTATCTGGTTGCATGAAATGCATTTAACTTTATATTTTAAAAATACTGTAATGAAAACATGAATTAAAACAGAGACTTAGGTCCAAATGTTCATTTTGATCAAATACTGACTGCGTTAATTAACACCAAACTTTTGTTAAAATCTATTTAAATTGTGGTCTTCTCTACTTTTTTTCAAAGATGTTGGAACCGTTCTTAAAGTAGTTTCAATTCCTAAGGAGACTTGGCATGATTTAGAAGAAGTTTTGCTGGAAGAAATGACAGTTTTTCGGGTGAGTGCTGCTTAATTTCAAGTGTCAACAAGTTCACTTGTATGTCTCTCCCCCAGGACAGCTGCACACTGAACTTGGTATGGACAAGTAGTCTAGCACACCCTTCTAATTAGCTTGTCAATTAGAAAGCCAGACACTAGTCAAAATAAACCTTGAAATGTTCAATGCTAGTTAAATCTAAAAATGCTAAGAAATATATTCTTGGCTCATATTTTGTTTTCTCAATGATAAAATACATGATTTACATTTTATGTTATTTATGTAAGTTAGTTCAATGAATAAACTCCATGTGCCATTGCCTCCTACCCCAAAACCTCCCTTCAAGCTTTATGCTCTTATGCGGTAACTTCCATGCTAAAGGAAATGGATTCAGAATGACAAGGAAACTAAAGATAATTTAACCTTCTTTTCATTTTACTCATAAATTGTTTTTATCATATTTTCTTAAAAAGATTATAAGCAAAATATGTTTGATGTTTTAAAGTCACCAGTGGCAAATTTGTTACGGATGTATAGTGGACACACTTAAGAAATGTGCAGATATTTGTTCTTTGCTCCTAAAAGACAGACACAGCCTAGGCAAATTTATATAGGGTTGGGGATAGAAGAAGCAAGGTGTAGATTGAAGTGAGAGAAGAGAACCAAAGCAACATATATCAAAATGTCTGTTGTTCCTTTTGGAATGCTAGCGAATAGAAAGTGTTTGAATTTGAAGCATGCCTTGATATGAATTCTTTATGCCATGACAGATACCTTAAAAGTGTTATTTCAGCAAACACATATGATAAATTTATACCTGCAAAGCAAGCTGAATTACAATAATTTTGTGGACAGAAAATGAAAAAAAAAATATTGGAACTATTTGCACAATTAACTATTGCCTTAGGTGTTTCAGATACTTTATAAAATGAAAACTGAATTAAAAATTTTAGCTAATTAAATATTAGCAAGGTGCTCATAAAACTATTCTTATCTCATATTTCTTGACCTGTTTATTAGCCCAAGAGATCTTTGCTCACTGTTCAGCAATATTTTGAAGAGAAAATTATACGTACAGTATGGTAAACTCCTAATTTATTTCATTCATTTAAAATTATGATTAACATTAAAACAGTAACTGGTGGCTCCCTGGTGGCATATGGGGTTAAGACACAGCACTGTGAAGCTGTCCACAGCCACTGCAGGACAAGTTCGATCCCCGGCCAGGAGGTGACCCACATGGCGCAGCAGACCTCTCCTGACTCACCTACTGCTCCCCTCAGCAGTGTATTTCAGTCAGTCCACATGTTCTGCTCCCCACTCTGTCTCTGGTGAATCCTCTCACCTCCCACACATCTGGCCTGTACTCCAGCTCTTGTATGCATAAATAAATAAATCTTTAAAAAAAAAAAACAAGTAACTAGTAAATCATGACAAACACCTTGTGGCGACAATTACCCAATTATTCAATGGAAAGAATTTAGGTTCATCGGTCATATGTACAGAGCAGTTCTATTTGGAACACTTGTCCAATCCCTTTGAGCTTCCCTGTCAATAAAACAGTGAGGCTAACACCAACTTCACAAGGAGACTGGAAGAATTAGACATGTTAGATGAAAAAACACATTGTATGTAGTACCAGGTACCATGCTCAAAATTTAATTGTTAATATAATTTTATTATTTTAGTTTAGCAAAAATGAAAATAAGCCATAAAATAAACAATTTTTTCTGTAATTCTTGGTTTAATCTTCAAACACTAAAATCATCCTAATTTTGTTATGATTTTTTAAAATCAGGTACTTTGTTGTTTATTTATGTGTGGCATAGAATGATGAGTAATAATCCCTATCTTTCACCATGACTCATTTCAGTGTTGATACTTCATCTTACAAATTCAAAAATAGTTATCCAAATGGACCTTGCTGGTAATGTAGGGTCCATCTAAATTTAGAAAGTAAATTAAAGATTCTGAAGGTGAAAAAATATATTGCTGTTTGGTTTTCATTGTTATGTTTCCAGGACCTAAGATATGTTCTAAACCAACATTTATTAAAGGAAGGTATCAGTATTGATGGAAAATGAAATATGATAAATGTTAAGAGATTGAGGCCTTCTAATGGGAGTCCATGCTTAGAGTGAGGTGCCAGACATGAGGAAGACAAACTAGGACTAGAAACAAGTTATCCTGCAGATTATGCTCCAATTAGTCTCTAGTAGAAAATAAAAAAGCCAGTGCAATAAATTTGAAAATTTACATTGTCACCATGGTTGTAAATGAAGTTATAGGAAGTAATAAAATATTACATTAACTTAAAAATTTACAACTTTTTCTAGAATTCTTTGTATTAGTCATAATTCCATATTTCTCTTTAGTTATATATTATTGAAAGAAATTTCACTTAGTAATTCAACTATAAACAAAACATATTCTGTTTACCATTGTCCTGACACATAATTAAGTTCTAGTGATTCAGCGGCGAACACTGTAAACCTGGTCCATGACTTTATGCAACTTTTAGACTCATCTTTTAAAGTACTTAGTTTACTACCTATTAATACAATTAATTTGATGTTATATAGCTATATCAGTTCAAATCATGCCACTTTAAAAAAGTTTCCTTTTTTCTCATTTAATTTTTCTATCACAAATTTATAAACAAACATGCATAATTATTTAATACTATATTATAGCTAATTTTCATTTCCCATATCTTTGTAATTTGTTTGTATTTCACCTCTAGTTATATATTTAGTGCATTAATAAAGTTTTTAGTTTAGAAATAATAATTTGACATGATCTATTAAATGACTTTTGACAAAATATGAAATATTGGAAGACAACAATTTTGCAAACAAGTATTTAATATCTGTTATATCTTGTTAGTATTTTGCAGATAAAAATACAGTCAAATTACACCTATGATAACTATTGAATGGCATCTGTGTGGCATTTAAGGCATGAGAAAGGGTCTTTATCATTCTCTAACAGTTAAGTATAAATAAATAATATGATGCTGGCATAAAAATGATTTTTTATGAGTTTACAATTTTATAAAAACATTGCTTGCAACCTGGAATACATTTCCTTCCACAGATAAATGTTCCAGTTTATTCCCATGTTCTCTGCTGTGTCTTATTGTCATTGTTACTTTTTTGACACTCCAGTAGACAAAACATATTTGGGCAGAGTTTAGAGAAATATTTACTTTCAGCATTCTATTCTATCAGGCAAAGTTCATACATATATTGTGGTCTAGCAATTGGAATATTTCACTGTCAAACTTTGTTTAATTTTGGAGTGGGAGAAAAAAAATACAAAACACGGTAAAGTATATACAGTGAAAGAAGCAAATGTTACAGTTTCTGCATTTCTGTTTGAGCCATGCAAGTCATTCCAACTAACATAAAATAAATTTTAAAAGGGTTAGCTTGAGCATTCATTATGATAGATTGACAAGGTAAATAGACAAAGAACAGATTTAGTGTCATGATGTATCTGATATTCTTGGATTTAAAAAGAAGCTATTTAATGTCAACTAACCAGTTAATTTTACCATAATATCATCTCCATGACACCACATTCATTATATAGACCTGTTAGACTGAAAGCCAAATCTCTTATAAAATCCTGAGTTAAAGCCAGCACTATGTCCATTGCATTCTTGAGGTTGGTTTTAGTGAAACACCTTGACTAATCACAGAACATTCCAGTGGTTTCAAATTATATCCAAGATGCATTCATTCTTGATGACATCAAATCCTAATCAGAATATAGAAAGAAAAATATTCCTCAGTAATAAAAATTTCCATTTTAGAGTAAAAATTTTAATTGGTAATAAGAGGTGGAATAAAATTGCCATTGGTATAACTCCAGAAATGACTTTGAGTTGCCATTAAATATTGAAAATTGTATTAAATTACTAAGCCACAAATCTAATTCCAAATATTACTTGTAACCATAAATCTGAATTTGATTCATGTTTACCGTGTGATCCTAAACAAGCTGATTGTAAGCAAATGAGTCCCAACTTTCTCATTTCATGATGATTATGGTTATAAATGATTGTGATTATAAACTTTCTTTAAAGTTTTTTTTAATTGAGATTGGTAATAAATAATAACTATTTTAACTAATTACATGAATGAAGAATGAAGATTTCTTTTAAAATATTTGAAAATTCTGAAATTTATTCCTTCTTTAAAAATATAGACTAGGCATCAAGGTGGACTTATGCTGATTTTTACTCCATATGTGATTTTTTTTCCAGTACAGTCAAATAGGATTTTACCTTTGAAACAGTGAAGTGTTAACGTCAAGTTGCAACACATTAAAAAAAAAAAGTTGCAGCACATTTAGTCAACTGGGTTTATTTATAGTTCTATTGACTGCAAAGGATTGCAAGGCAGTCACATAGATAACACATGCATTTTAAACCCAGTGCATGCAATATGCCATGAACAGCTGAGCAAACAAATGAAAGAGTTTAATTTTCATTGAAATGTAAAACATAATTGATACTTTCCAAAACCTAGTCTCTTAACTCATTGTAAAGGAGTATCCATGTGCTTAACATCGAGAGATATATGTCAGATTCTCCTGGAATCAGCAGGTTGAAAAGCTCTGCAAGTGCGAAAGTTTAATAAGGAATAGATTAAAATATCTGGGAAAATATAGTAAATTAGAGTCATAGAAAATCTTGAAAAGATGCTAAGTTTTTAATTTCATTTTTATTCAAACACCAATTAAATTTGCATTTGAAACTAGTTTCATGAGAAATGCTTATGAAGCTACATCTGTTTTAAATGGAAGTCATATTCACCACCAGCATTTCTCAGAAAAAATATAGCTTATTTAAATGGATGTCTTTTTAATATATTGCCTATTAAAATTCAACCACAGCCAGCATATAGAACATACTAGTCCAAACAGATATTAATTCTCTAGTCGAAAAAATAATGCTTTTCTTAATTAAGGGATTTTAGGATCTTAATTTAATTATATTGAAATCACAGTGTAACACAGTGGACTCTGATGTGTATTGGGTTTGTTTTGTTGTACCTATTATTTATGAAATAAGTCATTTTCTTCTACCTTCGAGATATTTAACATATTGTATTGCTGTGCTCACTGTGGCAGCACATATACTATTTTTTTGTTAATGAACAGGAAAGGATGAATTTTAATTAACTTCACAATTTTGTATAACTTCTCTGAAGTTTTTAAAAGAACTTAGATATTGCTAACTTATACTAGCTGTTAATTCGGTCTTAGAAGCACTTTACTTACACCTAATTCATGAAAGTTAGCATGAAACTAGATGTTCACATAAACACATAGCTATTTCACATGTGAAACTTGGAATATAAGAAGTTTCGTGGGATATTTCCTAACTTTTCTAAATTCTCTGTTTGGGTTATTTAAGCGGAATATATATAATCCTAAATACAGTAGTCAATTTTACCTTTAAAAACTAAAATTCTTCTGTGCTGATAAATTCTAAAGTTCATAACTCTGCATAGAGAAAATTTGTAAACATTCTTTTCAGTGTGGTTGTCTGTATAATTGATATTTTCTATAGAAAAGTATTGTTTTTAATATTAATTTAAACTATGAAAATGGGAAACTGTGGGAAATCCTTAAATTAGTCCAGTCAGTAACTGTACATCCTCAATCATTTGTCCCATTTGCATCTTGGGTAGGTTGACTTAAATTTGTTAAGAAAATCTGCATTCAGCTTAGAGAGCAGGGTTTGAAGTGGAGTTCTGCAATTCTACAGCACATAATGGGTAACTGAAACCACAAGAGAGGATGAGCTCATCTGGTAAGGAATGTAGCTTCCAAGGAGAGTGGAAAGGAGTCAGCAAGAAATCATCATGAAAGTGATTGAAGGATGTAAGGACTCTGGAAAAGGATAAGAATAGTCAATAACTAGTTACTGAGCATAATGATATTTATTAGAGGATGCATTTAAGAAAAAATGAGTGGTCAATGGTGCCATAACAAAACCCAAAAAAGTACTGAAATTCTCCATTCAGCCCTATCGTTCATTGGCATACTGCTTCTGAAAATTGTAGGTCACTTTAGAGATTCAGTGGTCTCCTCACCCCTGAGTGACGCTGAGTGAGACATGAATACATAAAGACAGTGAGTACAGAATATCTAGATGATTTTTGAAGAAATTCAAGGTAAACTTGAAGGATCATGGACTTTTTTTTGAAAAGGTGGTTGTCCTTATCTTAAATACAAATTGAATGGAAGGAAAAGTATAGTCATGTAAATGAAAGAGAATTGGTAAAACATTCATTCACTCACTCATCATGCATTCATTTAACAGTTACTCACTGAGAACTTGTAAATACCAGGAACCATGCCAGGTGCTAGGGAGATGGCAATGAATGAAACAGACAAATATCTCTGTCCTCAATTACTGTGTATGTCTCTGTGTGCACGCGTGCGTGTGTGTGGCAGGAACAAACAAATATGAAGACATGTGTGGCCTTTTCTGCCACTCCTCACATCCTATCAGCCTCAACTTTAATTCCCACTTGAATGTGTTTCACTTTCTGCACCACAACTTCTCAGTGGACAATTTTGAAAGTCCTTATCTGCTATTCTCAGATTTTTCTCTGTGGTAATTTCCATGACACATCATATTACTGACTTTTCCTATTGCTCAAACCTTACTTCGTCACTACCTCTGCTAAGGGTTTACCTACGGGTCCACTTTTAGGTTGGATGGAGGAACTCACATGACACATGATAAATATATGTGTCTGTACCAATCACTGCTTTAGCCTCATTCTGTTCTTCCTCCTTCTTAATGAAATTTATGAAGATCATGGAATCACTTTGCTTTTTTGACAGTCTTCAATGCAAAGCAAAGCCTCACTTCCTCGAACCTCCTCAAAATAACTAACTCAAGCCTGAAATACATAAGTCCTTTCGAATACCCTCTTACTGGATGGTCCTTTTGACTGATTTATTGCAATAAGCAATAAACCCAATATGATCGCTATTTGTATGTTCTTGAAAGTCATTGGCTAGAGGACATTAACACTTTCATTTTCTGCACATACTTGACCCTTAACCTATAAAATTTCTTTCACATGTTTTGTGGGTACTAAGATTATCTCTCTAAAAACATTCTTGATTAATTAATTAATGTTAGTTAATCAACGACTGACTTTAGTAATTCACCAAGCATTTCACATTTTTGTTTTCTTCTTTAGGAACCAACTGTTATTTCAGCAATGGAACTTTCCACTAAGCAGGTACTATCTTTATGCATTTTAATCAATAATCTATATTTTGAAAGTTTCATGTGGTAAAAGATAAATATATTTATGAACATGAATTCTAATGGATTTATTTACAATTTTTCCAAAAAAAGAGAAAAGAAAGACTAGTCTTAAAATAAACTAGTAAAATGAAATCTAAAGATAAGTGTCATTGCTCCCATGTTTATGACCAATTTCATTCATGTCAAATAAACATGCTTCTTAGATCATTATCTGTTGCAATTTATTACTTGTAGAATTTCTATTAATCATTGTAATATATTTGCTCAATAGTTATTTTCATCTATCTAATTATGTTTCTATCCTCTAAAAATAACATTGATGGGTACTTCAGGTTTATAATTTAATTTAAAACATAAACAAAATAAATAAAATACATTTTATAGGCTCATAAAATTATACACCAGACTATGTTTGAAGTAAAATGTTAATTTTACTCTTTCAGTAGAATTGTATGCTAGAGGAAACATTTAGTTTGGCTAAGTATAAAAGGAAAACAGCAAAATGGTCACTGCCCAATAATAAGTTATTAAACTCTATGAATTCAAAGGTTAAGGGCAGTATGGTAATAGCCTTTCCATTCACATTGAATGAATGCTTTGGCAAAATACTTAAGAAACACAAATCACTTGTAAATACTAAATGACTTGCAAACAAATCGATTTGTAACTCCTTACAAGTTATCTTTGCTCCATAAATATTATCTAGCCCTTCTATCTAATATTTCAATAGTAACTATAGAAATAACAAAAAAGGCTTAGATGCTGCATTGAAATTAGTTATTAAATAACCCTGCAGAAAAAGCCAGAATGCAGTAGGGAGTCCCTCACACACTGTAATGAAAACTTATAAAGAAAATTGTTAAATTTGAGAATGGATTCCTGAACTGTTTGACCATGCATTCTCCTGTACAAGATACTAAAAAAGTGGGCCAAAAAACTGAGTATGTATTCTTTCCACACATACATATCAAAATAGGTTGATAATCTCCAAGATATTTAGAGAAACTCAGTGCAGATATTATTGACCTGATAGTGTTATCTTACACCTCATAACTATGTGTTCACCTGTTCTTGTAATCTAAAAATTGTCAGATGTTGGCAAGGAAATCTGGGGATTTCCAAGGATGGAAACTAGACTGGAATATTCTTTCCTGTAATGATATTTTTAATTATTTATTTTTGGGTCAGCTTCATTACCAATCTTAACTGTATTAGTTATTACATTAGTTTTGGAAGACCTTCCTTTTATTAAAAAAATGCTACCTTTAAATTACCTATGAAATGCAAAACATTGCACCAACAAACAAAAACAGTTTATCAATTTTAAATACCACAGGAGAAGTGTCCCTAGCATTCATTTTCCATTACTGGAAGTTTGATTTTATTCAGATGTGACTCACTTTCATTCATGCTCATGGAAATTTTAAAAGTGAAGCAGTAGTTTCAAGAGGGACAAGCAGCATTGCAACTAATTTTCTGGATAAATGGTCTCATCTCCTGCCTGTGACCCGAAACTTGTTAAGGAAGATGTGAGAAAGCCTGTGGTGATGTTAAATTGGGCAGAAAATACACATCAGTTTGCTTGCTAGTGACTGGATGATGCTTGGCGGTGCCTATAGCCTTCCCTGTACTTTACTATAGTACAATTTTATTTTTGTAAATCATTAATAGTGCTGCAGAATGATTGTAAAATGACAAGTAGACATGGATTTGTATTTAATTTTTGGCATTTTATCACACTTTGGGTTTTCATTATAATTTTTTTGGTTACCATATGTTTGGTTTTCTGTTCTTTCCCAATGTTGTTTCCCTGTTTTTCTCCAGGCGACAGATTTAGATATTGTTATTTAGATAATACCAACTCCATTATTACTCAAACATCATATTCTTAAAAATCTTTAAGTATGAATTGTGCTCAAACTTCTTAAAATTGTTTGGCCACAGGCAGAAGCATTTTGATGAGGAGTGACAAGTTCACTAGGAGCTTTTTAAATAATTACAACCATAATATATGGATATCCATACTTCTGGATATTGCAACCCTATTGTGACTAATTTAATTCTTTAAATATTGTATATTTGCTTCATTTTCATCACATTGAAATTACTTACCTTCTATATATACAAGTTTATTTTTTTTTATTTATTTTTTTTTTATAGAGGCATGTTTTATTTATTTATTTATTTTGTTTGTTTGTTTTGTTTATACATGCACTGGGTACAGTCAGAAGCGCGGGAGGGTGAGAGAATTCACCAGAGCCAGAGCGGGGAGCAGAGCAGGCAGAAGGACCGAGGTACACTGCTGAGGGGAGCAGCGGGCGGCAGGAGAGGTCTGCGCGCCATATGGGACCCTCCTCCGGTGGCTGGGGAGCAGCCGGGGATCGAACCGGCGCCACAGTGGCTGCGGGCAGCTTCGCAACCCAGCGCTCAACCGCTGCGCCACCGGGGAGGCCCTATATACAAGTTTATTAAAAAAAAAAAAGAAGAGAGAAAGAAATTGGAAGAGAGAAGGAAAGAATTGGAGAAAACAAAAAGACATTCCTTTCCTTAGTTCTTTGTTAATACTCCCTAAATAACGGTCTATGGCTATCACTGTGTCTGTAGGTGCTTTTAGAGAATTACAAATCAGTCCAGTTTTCTCAACAAAAATCTTAACACTATTTTACCTTTCCTTCCCAGAGACTTTATCACTTCTTAATTTGCCATGATGTATAACATTCTTCAATATAATAAAATATGGACATAGTGAAATTTTGAGTGTCTAGTAATATCTACTAGATAGTATACATTATACTATAAAATTATATACTATAAATATTCTCCATTAGAAAAATGGAGCAAGAAATATTTATCATGGTAATTGCTTCCATAATGTTTCAGTTTTTATTGTGTTACTTCTTCCCTTCTATTTCCCATTTTTATATTAAGATGTAAGTTGGCTAGTTTCACCACAGAAATTGTTTTATTGTAATTACTCCTTGTACCCATAATATTCTTTAAATTCTAAAAGTTACTCAATCTTCACTCAACTTAGTTTTTTTTGAATATATGTAATCCATCTTTGAAAGTCTTTTGGAAACACAGAGTTTATTATTATGTCCATTGCTTACAGTTAGAAAATTTGTAACATTAAAAGAGTACACCATGATTCTGATAATGACTTTAATGTGATTTATTTTTCATATATATAATGGAGGAAATAAAGTACATTTGAAGTGTTTTCCATGTACACTATTATATATTTCAATATTTACACAGCTTTTATTTAAGACTTACAGTTATTCAATCCTTAACTGCAAGAAAAAGGAGGTATGGCATCAATTTCAGTAAATTGAATAAATGGCAAAATAATTTTAATGGTATTATGTGTTTACATAAATTTGCAGCTGTTATGTTACATTGGCTTGACATTATTAAAGACATTTGTAAAATTATACTGATATCGGGAATTAGTGGCTGCTAGAAATTTGGGTTTTTTTAATTTTTTCCATATTTTGTCTCATTTGGTAGTCCAAATTCATTGGGGATAAGGACATTTATAGAGTTTTTATCTGTATGTATACTTTAGAGATCCAGCAAAACATGCTTATTTTATGCATAACTTAAAGTTATTTCTTAGAAAACGAAGATGAACAGCTGAAGAGCACACAGAGTTAATGTAGGACAGGATGGAGCATCCATTGGCCTCGATGCCCAGCGCAGCACTTTAAAGTAACACCTCAGCCTTTTGTTCAAGTCAAATGCACCAGCCAGAGTCATTTGACTTCCATTTTTGTTGATCATTCAAATGGGAAGCAACTTAGTAATTTTCCTTAAAGTAATCTTCCCGAAGATAGTGCAAAACCAAGACAGTTCTTGGTGTTGAGTCAAAACTTCTAAAAACTGCAAGCACCAGATCTTCGCCCATTCCCTTTTCATAAGCTAGCAAATACATCATGGGCCATTAATAGGGCGACCATGACTCAGAAACAAATGATCCCTGACTCAAAACCAACACGAATGCATGGCAATGTAGTTCACCTAGATAATGAAAATTGTAACCAGAAGTAAAAAATAAAAAAGCTGTCTAAGAACAAAAACCCAAGAGCTGAGCCTGACACTGATTAGGATCTCACTGTCTTTATCTTCCCTGGTTTTATAGCTATGAAATATACCTGTTTCGATGAAGCATTTCGATTTTAATCTTCTATTTTACTCTTCCTCGTACTAGCTATCTTTGAAGAAGAGGGGTTTTTTTTGTTTGTTTTTTTTTGGCTTGTTTGTTTTTTAGCCCACAGATGGGAAACTTTGTAAAGGAAAGGGGTGTTGAAAAACAAGATAATGTTTGTCATGATAGTAATCTCTTTCCACAGCAACAGCTGTATATCGGTTCCAGCGCAGGGGTTGCCCAGCTGCCGCTGCACCGCTGCGACGTGTATGGAAAAGCCTGCGCGGAGTGCTGCCTGGCTAGAGACCCCTATTGCGCCTGGGACGGCTCCGCCTGCTCCCGCTACTTTCCTACTGCCAAGAGGTAGGAGGGATGTTAGGAATTAATATGAATTGTCTCCATTTGGCTCACCTGATTCCATTTTGGAGACAGCTTTCTTCTGTAGGTGTCTCATCTCGTTCTGAAGAATGAAAAGCGGTTTAGAAGGATTTTTTCCCCTTCTTTGACAATAGTCCAAAAAATCAGAAGAAGGTATAATAGGCATGTGAATATTAAGTGTAAGGGAACAAATAATAAGTTACTGAGGTACATCTGAAAACACTATAATTCCCTTGAATGTTTATATTCAGAAATTATGAAATTTCATTCTAACCCAAGAGGAAAATGAAGGCCCAAACCCACAGAGAAAATCATGAGTAGAAGCTAGACCAGACCTTGTGCCTTTTAACCTAATACTCTTTTATATATTTATTACTTATTATTTAATAAACATGTATTATAATATTCATTATTATATTTTATACAAATATATTTATAAATATATATTTATAAATAAATATTACATATATTTTTGGCACTTCTTTTTCCCAGCAGCGACATTCTATCCTGGTTTGAAATTTTAATAGGGCAGATTATGTCCTTAGGTGAATGGAAAAATCTCAAAGAAGTGGTTTGCCTTGAGCATCTTAGAATATACATCGCAACCCAATTATAAAATGTCAAAATGAATTTTTTCTAAGTTTGAAGATAACATTTTTTTTGTGAAGATTTTTTTGCTATGAGGTATAACTCTATAACATTATATTAGTTTAAGGTATACAGCATAATAATTGAATATTTGTATATACTGCAAAGTGATCACCATAATAAATCTACTTAACATTAATCAACATACAGAGTGGCAAATTATTTTTTCTTATGATGAGAACTTTGAAGGGCTTCTCTCTTGGTAACTTTCAAATATGCAAAATAGTGTTATGAATGATGGTCACTGTTTTGCATTACATTACCATATTTATGTTATAACTGAAAGTTTCTAAATTTGTATCACTTTTCTATGTAAAACATAAAAATGTTAATTAACTAGCATCAAAATACATCTTTCTTTGACACAAAATATATCTTTATTTGTCCCCCAAAATATAAAGTTCACTATACCATCATAGTATAATTTGGCATTTACCGTGTTGGAATTTGAACTATATAGAATCATGTAATAAAAAGTCCATCAATCTACTTATATTATACAAACATTTTTGGTATAATCTGATAATTCTTAGAAGTATTTTTTTGGACATGCTTGACTAAAAGTTACTAAGGTACACCTAGAAAGTCAAGTCATCATCTAAAATGGTATGTTCTAATGATACGTAACTGTGAGTTACTGTAAAGGAGACTGAATGGGGTCTCTCTGGTGGTACAGGGGGTTAAGTCTCACCACTATGAAGCTATCAGCAGCCACTGCAGCTTGAGTTTGATCTCCGGCCAGGGAGCTAACCCACCTGGCACAGCAGACCTCTCCTGTCTCGCCCACTGCTCCCCTCAGCAGTGTATTTTAGTAGATCCACCTGTTGGGCTCCCTACACTGTCTCTGGTGAATCCTCTCACTGTCCCCACCCTCCTCAACCTCTGGCCTGTAAACCAGCTCTTGTATGCATAAATAAATAAAATAAATGTTTAAAAACAGAAGGGAGACTGAATGTATTACAAATAGACAATCATTTAATAAATTCAAGAGATGCAGTTATACTTGAGGAAGTCCTTGATGCATCCACAAGTTGTATAAAAATTTTGCTTTAAAATGTGTTCTACAACATTTGGATCATTTTAAATGTTGGAAAAATATTAGGTAATAGAAATCTCTATGTAATCTTTTCATTACATACTTGAGATACTGTTGACTGTTGTGTTAAGTCCTCTATAGCTTAAATCAGTCCATAGGGATTAAAACACAGTACTTGTTAATAATTATATTAAATGTAAAAATATTATTAGCTTATGCCTATTTAAAATCATTTTATTTAGTCCTCAACACTCAATTACATCACATTTGTGTTCATTTTGTATATCAATCAATTTTGTTGGGAGTTTAAATTTAAAGTAAAAATTTTGTATGGAGATGTGTTATTGGTTAAAGAAACCATAGATAGATTAATAAACTGTAATATGCAGCTCTTACAGGGACAAAATTAAATTATTAAGATTGGAATTTTATGGTTCTTAAAATCCCTTAGCTCTAGGAAACGTATGGTTACTCAAAATATGTGAAATTCATGTTTAGACTAAAAATGAGTGTTTACTTTCCATATGAAAGTATTAACATTTCTTAATTTACTAATAACCCATTTGATTTTTAAATTTTACTAATAAGAAAGTTGATAAAAATAAGATCATAACTACATCTATAACATTTAATAAGTTGTAAATTGTCCTGTATGTGAAATGTGTTTATTGCATATTTACAATCCAAGATTGAAAGAATTATCATTAACACATTTTTGTTGTGCCTTACAGATTTTACTTATTCCAATTTCATGTTATTTGAAAGGATGTTTAACACTCTCACAATTTATATGTTCTTTGTGATGGCATTTTTCGAAAGCTTAAATGGCAGTAAAAAATGCCTTCCCAAATGCTTTGTGGTTCGTGTTTCACAAGTTCCCTCGTTGGCTCCATTTTGAAATGTGCAACATCTGTTTGATAGTCTCACCAATTCTACAAATAGAAATCTATAAATACTTGGGACTCCTAAATTTATGAATACAGTAACAAATTCCATATTTGCAAACCTTGATGTCCTTTGTGAGAACTCTCTTCAGAGATGGTAACTAACTATGCAGCAAGACAATACTAATTAAATAAGTGCAGAAAACAATTGTACGAGTGTGTCCCCAATCTTCCAGTCTGTTACACATAGCCAAGCTCTGTTAGACTGTCAGAGGACAAGTCTTTTTGCAGCATAGTGACTAGAGCCCACCTTCTCGTTCCCAGTCAGCCACTAGCGAAGTATAGAGAGGACACCCAGAATGTACTGCTGCTAACATGATCTGAACAGTAGAATGTCGGAGAAATTAATTTTGACTTTTATAAACAAATTTGGTTCTTTTATTAAAGGTAAGTTTGTCATTTTTTCTCTCTCATGTCCCGCTAATAAAAGGATGTCTTGTTCCTCAATATTTGTTGTCGCTCTTCTCCTTTTATTCATGCCATAGGTAAGTTGGTCTGCTATTACAATCATGTGATCATAAAAGAAACATTTTGTAAATGGATACACAATCAAAAAAGAAAAGTAAACCTAACTTAAAAATAGAATTCATAGTCTTAATACTTTAAAATTTCAGTGAAGTCTACTAAAGACATTATGTATAAATATGAAGAGAAAGAGAAGTTCTGAATTTTAACATTCATGCTTACATCATTATTAGTGATCAGGAAAAAAAAGTTCTGGTTATTCAGGAAATGGGTTGTTATTCTATATGTTGTGTTTTTTCCCGCAGAATTGAAGATTTTAAGAATTTTAGAGTTACTATGTGTTAGATTCTTAATGATTATTGACATACAGTACCAAAAAAATGATATCCCTATTGTGAATACTTGAAAAAATTAATACATTGTTAGTACTTTTGTATACTGTTTCCCATTTTGTTCATCTTGGAGACTGCTCATCCCATTATGATGAACTGCTTTTAAAAAATCTTTTAGTCCAATGGGAATACATATCTTCCTATAACCTCCTGGATTCATTGATTTTTGATTCTTCTTAGTTTTTATGGCAAATTCCCAAGAGGTATTAGACAAATAATAATACCTTTTAAATGTATTTGTTTTAGACGTACAAGACGACAAGATATAAGAAATGGTGACCCACTGACTCACTGTTCAGACTTACAACACCATGGTAAGTTACAACATGCTTCATCTTTCAACCTGCTAACACCATGATAAAATCATAAGCGGTAATGCATATCCACATATGTGCATGCAGGGAAGGCATCTCTCCCAGAACACTTAAGGAAATTCAACTGAAGAATAAAACTAGAAGGAAGAAAATTCTAAGGAGCATAAAGCTCTGTATTGTGTTTAATTACTACAGGTATGATACATTCAAGATTTTGGATATAAGACATTTAAAGCTCAATTTTCTTATATGAATACGAAGTCAGGAATAGTACATACTTTTGTATCTCATAGCAGCCTGAGTGTAGTAAGCAACAAAAATATTCATTTACATTTATCAATGAAAGAATTATATACTGAAATTAAGCCATGAAATTTTTTCATTAGTATGCTGATGATATAGAACTAATATATCCTAATCAATAGATGACAATTCAATACTGATTTACCAGTAGGCTAGTCCCTAAACTAGAGAATTTGGAGAAAATTCATTTTATGCCACCTAAAAGATTTTAGGTAAGATTTAATGTTAAGTTGCTTAGTTAATGCTGAAATTTTGATTTAAATCTCAGTAAAATTGTAGTATATCTCAGTACCCTACCACTTCATTATTTACATGAACGATAATGAGGTTATGCCTCCCTCTGCTGGGGAAACTTACCAATAACTAAGGAACTCTTCAAGTTTAAAGAGAAATGGTAGAGGATGATTGGCACTTTGGCGATGCATGTGATGGGGGATAATACAGGTTTGTAGCTGTGAACCCATACATATACAGTGCTGTAAACCAACACTACCTCAATAAACATAATTTAAAAATGAAAAAAAAATAATGAAAGTATAAAATGTAAACATTTTACATGCAATTGAACATACTTTGCTATTAACTTTTGGGTGCCTTTAACATTAATCTTTAAGAATAACATCTAAAGTTTTTATCAGTTAATTTGAATTTGATCTAGTTATTTTGTGTGTAGAATATTGATATTTCATAAATGTAAAAAAGGAAACATTGTACAAATATCACCCAGGAAGACTTCCAAAGCCTAGTTGTATTTTTGAAAGTCAGATCCCCTTCTGTGTAACCTACCTGTGCTGGTATCTGATTCTTGAAGGCTCACAGGGTGCTTTGGGGGGATGCTACTACCAGAAGACAGCCAAAATTTGGGCTTATGTTTTGGATTCATTTTGCTTGCAAAATTTTCTCTCAAAGACTTTCCTATTGTTATTTTTCTCATTAAAAGAAAATATACCACAAAATTATCTGATATTAATACGATAATATCACTTGTTATCAGATACAGTGCATTAGTGACATACCCTCCTTAATTTTTTAACGGCATATTTCAGAGATTTGACCTAAAAGGCATGTATTGCTTATTGTGAAAATTATTTGTCATCTGTTGTTATTATCAACACAATCATATTCAGAAATAGGAAGTCAAGAAAGCATCACTATCAACTGATTGGCTAATAAATAATTGTTGTAAAACAGTATGTATATGATACTATGTTTCATTTTGAAGATTGTTAGAGAATTTCTCTCTATATATAATTTCACTGATACCTACATTTGTTGTATAGATACAGGCCCTTCATAGATAGACCCAATTAGAATTTCAAGATGATATACATGCTGGAATTATGAGTATACATATATAATACAAGGAAATGCTGACCAACTGCATATTTTTTTAAAGTAAGATGGTGAATAAATGAATAAATGTTGTTGCCTATTAAATGAATGGCCTTTGCAGAGTGCTTCAGATTTTGAAAATGCATTTTAATAATGTTAAAAGAAAGTTTGTAAAAATTGGGAATATAGAATTGCTCAGCAATAGGAAGTAAAATGAATGTGAATCCATTTTTCTCCTCTAATTTTTTTATTGCTTTAGATACTATAGAGAGGAAAGAAAACTCTTGAGACTCACTGTTACTGAATCTGTGTGTGTGTGTGTGTGCGTGTGTGTATAAACAACTCAGAGTGGATACTTGTGGTATATGGGAGAAAATGGTACAATAGTGTAAAAAGTTCTGGAGCAATTACTTGTTTGAAGTCTTTTATTGCTTGTCTGCATTTATTACAAATTGGACAAATACAGAAAATATACACCTTGAATACAGCAAATTGTGAATGTTTGGAAACTAAGTCAGTTATTCTCAGATGGTCAGGCGAGCCTTACCACTAGGTATCAGGAAATTATCTTGGAATAAGTGATGTCGATATTTGAAAGTAAAAATGGGCAAAAGTCCAGAGCCCAGCCCTGCTAAATCACATATGTTGTCTTGCTAATGTCACGTCTCACATCAAATAAAATATATGTGCTCATATGGAAACATATAAAGATATGAAATGTTTTCACGGAAAGCTGCTAAGCAACTCATAGCCAAATTATACACTTCAGGATGATCAGTTCCAGCTGTAATGGTAAACATAGTCTGTAACACTCTATATTTTACATATCCTGAGGTTTTAATAGAAAGACTGTATAAAATAACTGAGAATTAAGGTGGAAAATGTTCCACTCTCGATAAAACCGTTAGCACTCACTCCATGCCCTGCTCCCTCCGGTGTAAAGGCAGCGCTAATGGTGAACTGGCCCAGGCGAAACAGAAACATCCAGTTCCACTTCCCCTTGACCCAACATGCTTTCGTCCCTCAGTGGTGGCCCTTCACCTAAGGAACATTTAGTATAAAACCCTAAATACAGATGTGCTGGCAGATCCACTTGTCTCCCCACTCACACCTCATATAGTATGCAAAGGAAAAAAACCTCAGGTTGTTTCCAATATGTTCCTTTCCCTAAAATAAGTGTGGTGCACAAAATTGGAATTTGTCTGGCTGCATTCAAGTGACTGCATCAGTTTCTCTTAAAACTAACTCCCATTCCCCTCTCTTTTCTAAGCAAAATGAGTTATGATCTGCATGTCCAGAGGGGAAACTCTATACCATAAGTTGCAGCATTTTGCAAACCATAACATCATCTTAGATATTTGAATCTTTGAGATATTTTAGGTTTTAACTTGCAATTTAATGCAATCATTGAATTCATTTGTTACTAGTTCTCTTGTCTGTTCTACACCAATGCATTTCATTTCAGCATCCCACAGATAAACATCCAGTCTTCTTAATAAACTCCACAACTAGCAATTTATGTTTTGACTGGTATCAAAATCATTCCAAAATTTAATTAAATATCTTTTTTTTAGATTTATTTTATTTATACAGAGCCAGGGTACAGTCCAGATCCATGGGAGAGTGAGAGGATTCACCAGAGACAGAGTGGGGAACAGAACAGGCAGACTGATGAAATATACTGCTGAGGCAAGACAGGAGAGGTCTGCTTGCTATGTGGGTTGCTCCGAGGCTGGCGGGATTGAACCGGCACTGCAGAGGCTGCGGACAGCTTCACAGCACTGCGCTCAACCGCCTGTACCACCAGGGAGGCCCTTCATTAAATATTTTAAGCAGTATCATCTTTATAGTCTAAAGAGATGAACATTTAGTATTTTGTTGCTATACTAACCTGGTCTGTGCTTCAGTTTCTTTTATACATATAGAAAATCTAACCATGAATCTGAGCACTTAGCCCCAAGGAAAAAAACCTCAATACTTAATTAATAAGCATGATGTCAACCATAAAAAATCTCTAATAAATGACCAAATTTTATCAAATCTGAAGAAAGATTCACCATTATTTACTGCTAAGAAAGAAAAACTGCCTAAAATGGGCAAAGAGATGGTCTCAGCATCAAACTAATACTCTGTGTGTTTCAGTATTTTTTTAAAGATTTATTTATTTATACATACAAGAGCTGGGGCACAGGCCAGAGATGTGGGGGTGAGAGGATTCACTAGAGACAGAGTGAAGAACAAAACAGAAAGACTGACCAAAACATACTACTGAGGGCACCAGCAGGTGAGAAAGAAGAAGTCTGCTGTAGCTCCCTGGCTGCGATCGAACTCATGCTGCAGTGGCTGCGGATTGCTTCATAAGGCGGTGCTTAACCCCTTGTGCCACCAGGGAGGCCCTGTATGTTTCAGTATTAGTGCAAAGGAGAAATAAATTCTCAAGTAGAAGATAGAAAGGAAATTTCCGTGTTTCAACCCTAATTTGAATGATGGAAAGGAGTTAACAGCACTCTTTGAACCATAAAGTGAGCACATGAAAATTTACTTTCTGAATTCACACCAGCATGGTGGACCAAAAGCTCAGACAGAGACTTTCATTTAAGGAGTATCAGGTTAGTGGGGTATCCCTTAACTGTCAGAAGAGCAAATTATTTATGAAAGAAGGCAACTTCAACTCAGGGCAAGAGCAATTATAAAATATGCCAATATCAGATATGTTAAAATGTAGAGAAAACGCATCCAAGGATTTATTATTACAATATTTTTGTCTAAAATTTTTATAAACCCTTATGCAAGTATTTTCACTGGAGAACATCATCACAATGTTATCTTAGGCAAATAATCTAATTATTTGGATTAGATGTATTCAAATATGTATCCACATCCTGAATAAGAAAAGATTTCATGCATTCAGTGCTTTTATTGATTCTCATTATTTTTAAATATGTCAATGGAGATCAATGAAATTGCAGGTTTAAACACCTAAAATTTAAGTGTTAGAAAATTTTTAAGCATAGTGTACTTTTTTTTTAATTCTAAGACTTACAAGGAACACAAATCATTAAAATATAAGATAGTATTTTTATTATTGTTTATGGGAGGTTTCTGCTTCAACAAATGGTTGTTTTCCAACTCATTATATTTCATGGGAATTATTAAACTAAACATTAAATTTAATGTTTTCTGATTTTTAAATAAAAAATTTTATGGTAATTTTATTCTGTCATGTGGATTAGATATACCTCCTATGGTAACTCATTTGCTATGATATCATGAAAATAATCAGATATTCAATATAGACTAAATACTTATGAGTAAGTACCTTAAGTTGGTATTGCTTCTTGAGTAATTGATTTTTCTCCAGTCCT